GGTACATAATAAATATTTATTTGTTTTTTTGATATTTCAATTGATTGAAGATGTAAACGAATACGATCATCAATATTATTTAATTGACAATATATTTTTAAATAATTAATATCTTCTTCTAAATGCATAGAATAATATTCATCTGTTTGATAGGATGATTCATTTGAAAAATTTTGAATTTTTTTATAAACTTTTTCATATTGTTCATCATATTCATTCAAATATTTTTTATAAATCAATTGTAATTGTTCACATGTCTCATATGATATTTGTTTTATTCGTTCAATAGCATTTATTTCCCATTCATGAATATTTTCAACTAATTTTGATATATAATTTTCATTTGATTCATGTGATAATTTAGATTTATGACAATTATCAAATATATCAGTTAATTGTTCAAATTTTTTTAAAATAATACTTATATTAGAGTCTTGTTCCATTTGCTTTTATTTGCGGTTAAAACGAAAAAAAACAAAAAAAAAAAAGAGAACAATTTTATTGCTCTCTATAAATTTGTTTCGAGAATCAGAAGACAAATAAAATGATAAGAACGTTAGATAAACATAGACAATAGAAAGTAAAACAAGACAATAGGTAACAGAAAAAGATATTATTAAAGACATACTAAAACTAGACATTTATATTAACATCAATGATATTACATATATATATATATATATAATGAGAGAGACAGAGAGAATCTGAAGAGAAATCATGTTATTTAAAAATCTTTTACAATAAATTCTTTGATGAGATCAAACCATTCTTTAAGAAAATAAAATTCACTCTATCATTCATTATTCAAGGTCAATATGACTATCAACCGTCAATACAAAACTTCAAACCGACATAATAAAAACATGTCTATAAATAAAATTGTTGATCAGAACTCTACAATCGGAGTGAAATTTTGCCGTAATATTTGAACATGTTGTTTCTCTTAGAAGATTTGAACGACAAAATATCCATACAGCTCTGAGACAAAAGTGTAGCAAAGATTTTAAGATGTATCCATATTCTATATGATCATTCAATCAGAAAATATAAGAAAAATACAAATATCTACCTGCTCTCCAAAAACTTATAATATAAAAAATAGTTTTTAATCAGAGATGTCATAGAGCTCTGGTATTTTGTTGTTAAAAAAATTATAAAAGAAACAAAATACAAAAATAAAAATGTGACAAAAAATTTCATCACTGTTTAGCTTGATTTTCGTTTTGATATATTTCTCCTAGTATCTACAAACTTTTCAGCAACATGGTAAACTTGGTTAATTTTTTTTTTTTTTTAATTATTAGAAACAGAAGTGAATTAAAAAACCAATCAATAGTAACATACCGTAGAATTTGATGTTGTTGATTCAGGCACATAACATATTAGTTCAATTCGTTCGTTTAAACCTTTTTTCAATAATTGACAAAGTTTTCGACAAATTAAAATATGTTCATTTCCTAAATGATCCATTAATTGAATATCAATATTTGACTCTTCATCAAGTAATTTTTTATGATCATTGAGCGATGATATTCTACATAAATAAACAAACAAATGTGTATTTTAGTTTAGAATCATAATTAAAAATAACATACTTAATTATAGCATCCATAGCGTAAAGTGGAGATATTGGTGTCATAAATAATACTTGAAAGTGATCAATAACATTATCATCAAATGAACCCAATGATAATCGTGCTTCATATTTTAACTTAAAAAAAACCAATAAAGAAGATAATTTTTAAATCTAAATCTATAATGATTGTAAGATTACATACTCTAGCATAAGTTTCATTTGTCATTGTATGAAAAATATTTAAATAACCCGATGGAGCAACAAGAACACAGTCATCTTCACTTGACCATTCATTATTAATACTTCCAAATGAACAGTCGGCAGTTGATGACCAATCACTTTCAACTAAAATAAAATAATTCAATTAACATTTTATTTTATTTTTTTATGAATAATAAACTTACTTATGTTAACTAATGTAACACGAAATATTTGATAACTATTCATTTGTCGATTCAATTTATTTTGATTCAATAAATAGGCGACAAAAAAACTCAACATACATCCGGTAAATGCACCATAACCCTTAAAACATGTAAAAAGAAAAAAAAAAGATGTACAGATTGAATAAAAAAAATATTCTACTCTTACTTTGTGTAATTGACGTTGATAAAGCCAAATTTTCAATAATTTTAAACCATTACAAAGTTCTTTACTATTTGAAAATATTTCAGATAAATATTGTGAATTTCCTTTTAAACAAGTATCAAATAATATACTCCAGTTATAATTTGGAGTAGGATAAAATATATTCTCATATTCTAGAGAAAAAAAAACAGAAAGATGAACGATGATAATCGCACATTGATAAACATACTTTCATCTTGATCATTATTATTTTGATACCAGTTCAATCTTAAATTACTCAATTTTGATTTGAAACGTTTTTTTCTTTAAAATAGCCATGTTCTGGTACAATAAATATTCTAAGTGCAAACGATGAATTATCTAAAATGAAATATTTTTAAAAATAGTTCTTATTCAATAAAATTCGAGTATAAATGATTACCATTTGGTTTAACAATTAATAATGCTTGATTTAATGTTGTTTCATTCATATGTTGAAATTCACATATGTAACTATGTTTTTTTGATAATATTAATTTTTTAGCCAAATAACACAAATATATGGCACGTTTTTGAACATAAATTGCATTTAAATAATCATGTTTATTTATACATTTTTTTGGAATTTCCACTAATAAATCAATTGATAAATAACCTGATGTTATGGATTTAATAACACAATTATAATTATATGAGCCAATTGTTTCAATTGTTATAGGTGGTAAAAAATGAAATTTTTTATTTAATGATGACTTTGAAAATGAAATTGGTAAACGAATATTGAATTTTTCAAACCATGATAAAAATTTTGACAACTGAAATATTTAGAAACATTTCACGATTATACTTCGAACTATCTACACAAGAAGTTAAAAATCAATAAAAAATAATCTGTCATTTTATAGAGTCTAAAAACGAATCGAATGCTGGCAATCAATTTGAATCAAACTAAACTTGCTCCTAACGTCATTCGAGCTTACATTCATCGATAGTGAACAAAATAGTATTTTTACGTTTTGATCGAAAATAATAAATGGAAACATTAATCTTGTGGATAAGATTTTTCTTCGTTTATTTTGTTTCAATTCATATTTAAAAGTTCTACACACACACACATAAACCAGATGTTTTGATCAAATGTGCGAATCTCAAGACAATCTATTCTGAACGAAAACGAGAGAATTTCTCTTTGTCTTTTTCGATAAAGAAAGAAAGAGAAAACTTCAATCTTCATTGAATTGAGTCGAATCGAATCGATTCAAATGTTTGAAAATCTTGTCCTGAGTGCTCTACTATCTTATAAAATCTGTCTCACTCTCTGTTCTTACATCTTTTGTTTTTCCTTCTGGAATCGATCTAATTGTTTTCGATACATTTTCAATAAATTTTTCAATTTCCATACGTTGTTTTTGTTTTAAATTAACTTCATTTAACAATTCGGTGATCTTTAATGGAATAAAAAATAGTAATAATAATTAAAGAAGAAACACATCTACTTTTACCTTCATTTGTGTAACAGTTGAATCATAAAATATTTCCGATTCAAACCATGTTGACTGGTCATTCTCCTCCTCAGATTTTTTCAATTTTTTTCGTTTGTGTTGCTTATGTCCATTTTGATGCGTAGAATGTGATTCAATCTGACGTTTCAATCCCACCATAATTTTACTGTTTAATCTAGAATTTAGCAATAAAACAGTAGAGAGAAAAAAAATAGAATTTCATGTCAAACAAAGAAATCATAACGATCAATTAACCATGAAAATCAAAATTGAGTTTATTCTATATGGTATATGAATTGTATCTTTCATCCAATATTCTATAAATATATTCTTAAAACTAAATTTGGAATCTTTTTCTACAAAAGATTTCGTTATCATCATTAAAATATATTTCTCAATGACCGACATATCGTAGATTTCAAACAATATCATACCACAATCGTTTCACTTCACATGCTTGATTTTGTGATTTTAACTATTTGACAATTCTCTGACCTTGTAGGAAATAAGGAAAATGTTTTTTTGATTCATTTTGTAAATTTTGAGTACAGTTTTAAAATACTGTTTTTGTTTTAAAAAGAAAAAGAGTATACAAACATATTTTCAGCGCATAAAACTATCTCATACGAAAGAGGCGATTCTAGTTATTTACAACAAAATCTTTTTTAAAGAAAAGAATAAAAATATCTCGTAGATCACACAATGTGTGTAAAACGAGACGAAGCAAAAATTAAACGGTTAAAAAAACGTCTATCATATATCGATCAAAATAAGCGGAAATTACAATAATGCATAAAACTGTCGAAATGTGTCATACAGAAAATACTAATTTATTTCATGAATGACGTTCTGGTTTGATATGTTGTTGCATAAGATGTAAATGAGTATTCAATGGTTTCGATCGATGTTGATCTGAATAGTCTAAATATTAATTAACAAATGAGAATAATGATATATTCTAACTATTTTCTTATGTTGTACCTTGATTTTGATGATTGATTTGCTGTGCTTGTGATTCAAAATTCATTTTTTCAACAAATGTTTTGAATTTTTCATATGCTTGACGATGAGATTCAGATTGACAGTGTCCTTCGAATAATCCTCTACGTTGTGCACCGAGTGGCTCTGATTGACCATGTTCAATATGATTCAAATTGATTGTTTGCACTGTCGTTGTTCTAGAACTGTTATCATCAGTACGACGATGATGATTTGTACGCTTCTTTCTGCCTCTTGAACCGAGACATTTTCTCCAATTCTTTACACCTAAAAACAAACAAGTAAAAATGAGATGTATTGATTGATAAATATTTTTTTCAGTTACCATCCATTTCGAATACATTTCTAACTTACCATCTCTAGCAAAGGCGCGGTTACGATTTGTATCAGCGAACATTCGACAGTAAAAACAGTAAGCTCGTCCACTTTTTAACGAATATTCTAACCAATCCTTAACAAAAGAAAGTAGATGACTTACACGTGATTCTAAAATCAATCAGCACGCATGCTAATTTTTTTTACTTTGAATCGAAGATCGTCAAACCATTTCGCTCGAAATCGAACGATTTTGTTGCCAGGACAAGGAAATATGCTCGTATTGAAATCATCGTTTTTGGGTTGATGTGGTCCAGCCTGTTAACAAAAAACAACCTCTTTCAATAGACAAATCTTTTTCCTTATTATCGGAGGCAATTATACATTATAAACATATATTCATATCCAAGAGTGTTCAGCTAAACGTTTCTAGAATCTTTTTAAAACTCACCTTTATCAAGAGCCATCTTAACGTATCAGTCAAATCGGTTGATTTAATTCCAGCCGGATCACGATCGAGAATAATATTATGATTGGTGTTGTCATTTGATGTCGTAATGTTAACCGGCGATGGTGAAAAATCGGTTGAACCACTTGTTTTTTGTAATAAAACAGACGCTGCAGCACCGAGAGAACTTTGAGGCTGTAATGAGAGGTTAGAATCTTGTAATAAAAATAAATCGTTTGAAATTTTGTTATGATGAGAGTGCCCTAAAGAGGGAGAAATATCCGGTAAATTTTTAGACGTAAAACATAATGATGATTGCGACGGAAGATTGATTGTCGTTGTTGACACGGGAACTGCTAATGACGTTGAACATAGTAATGGAAACGATCGAGACGAGTTATCACTGTGTGAAGATTGTTGTTGACGATGTATACAAGCGGAAATTTGTGTATTCGATGATGTAGGTAAGGATGAATCGATCGCATATGATTCTACCATCATCTGTAAGTCATTATGATACCTAATCGAAATAAAAAAAATCTATAAATTATTTAACATATACATAAAGAAAAAGAGAATATACCGTTCTAATTGACTTAAAGCATCAAAGGCAGCTTGACGATGTCGTTGGTCATCTGCGGTATTCACCACCATTGACGATAACGATTGTTGTTGTAAATGCTGTTGTTGTGATTGATGGAGTTGATGATTATTATGATTACTCTGATAAGTATGATTGTTAACCGACGAATTGATGGTGAGAAAAGGTAACGTAGAGGGAACTGATGTTCGAATAGTTGTCGTGGGTAAATTCGATGAAACATTTGACGGCAGTATATTTGTTGGCATTGGCAACCCTGATACTAAATCTCGGTCTGAAAACAAAGAGTACAAAGACAACTTTATGCATACACTAAGAAGATATCGACTTACCCCACTTATTTTGGAACATGTCGAAGTTTGTTTTTGACTTGACTGTTTTTATGTCTCTCATAGAGAGACGTTTATTAAAAGAAGTAGAATGCTTAAATCTAAAAGACGACGATAATAAGCTTTCATACGATGGAAAATCGGAAAATGCTTATATTGTAGTGACACAAGAAGAACAGACATACTCACTTTCCTATAAAGTGTAGACATTGTATAAATCTAGAATGTACTATTTTTCTCTGCGTCATGCATCCGCTACGGTAAAAACAAAAGTAGTCGGGTATGATAATGTGAACATGGACTTCAACAGTTACTGTCCTTAACCTTTTAAAGCCCAATCTTCATTCACATGAACATTGGCATTATCATTATAACAAACTGAGCATGCATTGTGTGAAAAAACTAATCTGATATTGGTTGTAGAGAACAGGGCTCGAAACAGGCCGACAATTTTGAGGCCTGGCCTGCCTGCGTCAGACCTGTAATGTTTAGATCTGCCTGGGCCTTGCCTGCCTGCCTGCCGTTGCTCTCGGCCTACCCTGACCTGGTCTGTAGATGCCTGATAATTTTTTTAATAAATAAAATGTACAAATAATAGTAACATAAGATGGAAAGAAAAGTGACAGATAACTAAACGATATATCTAAGTAAAAAAATTTGGTTTTTGTTCAAGTATTTTCTGAACTGATCTAACTAATAACATATCCTCAACCGTGCCAAGATTTAGTGATCTATTTCAGTCTAGTACATAGTTTCACAGTGTGAAACTCCCATATCATAACGACATCTACAGCCGAAATGCTAGATTATGAATAAAAATACGCAAATTTCCTAGGCTAGGCCGCATGGTGTTTTCAAAGGTCTGTCTGAATCTATTTCAGTCTAGGCCTGGTCTGCCTTAGCCTGGTGCAGCCCGATAATTTGTAGCCTGGCCTGTTTCGAGCCCTGGTAGAGAATTAAATTATTAAATTTTCTTCACTATCTGAGCTCATTTTATCTCAATTTCCACAAACTTAATGGTCTAAACTCAGATATATTTGCTCTCTGGTTTCTAATGAGAATTTTGGACAAGACAAGGTTTTTCAAATTTTGATTTTAAATTTAAATTATAAAAATTTTTTTCCATCGTGAGAAAGTCAAATCGAGGTCTCATATGTTCTATTTTCATAAGCGGTTGACCCTTAGTGACTTAAAGGGTTCCCTATCGCTAATGTCACATTAGTAATGGGCTGATGACCATGTATTACAAGGTCTTTAGTCTATCTTCTTTACTATTATTGAGATGGCTCCAAGGTATAGTGTAAAAAAGTTAAATTCCTTAAGAGTTTACTCTTTTATGTTTTCCGCTCCTGCAAAATTCTACACATTTTTTTTGATACTTTATCTTTTTGAATAATTTGTGAACCGTTATCCATTACCACTTTTTTGGACGGTTAGCGAGGACAAAAAACGCTTTTTACGGTAAATATAGTAGTGGTAAGATAGTGGAGCCAGAATGCATCGTAATACACTACACTTTTACCGTAGCAGTGCTACCTAAATTCTAAAACTTCTCTTTTTTAAAATAAATTTAAATGAAAAATTTAGAGTTAATACGTGATTATCTTTCTAATGCGAATTAAATTATTGGAATATCGTAAAAAATGTACGCTGTTAGACCAAATTACCTGTTTTCCACATGACGATATTTTCACGGAACGATAAATTAGCAGAACATTATCTTAAACTATTGACTTTTTTAAATACAGATAAAGTCGCAATGGAAGAAAATGCAAGAGAAAAGATACAAATAAATGAATAATCTGATTAGTGAAACAGCAAGCCAGTTGAAAACTATGATTCAGACTCCGTATGGTTGACTCGATATAAATACTAGTTTTTTTGTCTTATTATCAACGACAGTGTAAAGATAAGATGGCTTTTATTACTATATGTTATTCTACGAGTTGTAGATTAAGCCGCCCATCTAAAAGTCCGATGAATCATCCATTCAATGAACGAACCATAACTCAGTTTTCTCACTATCTATTAATTGAACTGTAAGAAGCAGCAGCAGGATTTGACAACTGAGTAGAAAGCGCCATTGAATCGTACTTGTGTCTTCACGGCTTTTTCAGTCTATCGTTTAACTAAGACAAAAAAGAAAAAAAAATGTGGCCTTTTCTTAACTTCTTGGACCTGTTTGATGAAACTAAGTGTTTAACATTTGCTCAGTCTTTGCATTGTCTTAAAAGGAGTAGGCACATGTCACTAGGAGAAGGCATACAGCAGCGCTATACAAAGATCTTTTCCCAACATGACCAATTTACGCGACAGTTTTGTTGGGTTTTCATTTTGTTGCGCTTTTGTTCTTGGAATTAATCTACGACTATTATTTTTATTCGAGACTTCGACCATTACTGACCTATTACTTCTCGCGCATTGTTGAAGTTGACTTCGCCAACGACTTTGACAAATCATATTTCTTTTGTTGAAGTCGTTATCGAAGTTTTTAAACTGTCTAATGCTGCACACAGAACCGCAAATAGGAGCCAAACATTAGACAGGTGCAAAAAACATTCTTCTCTCGGAGGTAGTGTGAAATTGATAAAAAACTTCTATGCGAGTAATAATTGATAAAATAACAATAAGATTTTCAGTTATTTAGGGGCTGCGCACCCTCCCGTTATTTGCGGCACATATCTTCGTTCTGAACCATCACTCTATAATACGCCAAAACAAATATAAGGGTGAAAAAACCCAAAGGATTGCATTGATCATGTATTCCATTTGGTTATTTGGAGATCAAGTCATTTGCACATGATCATCATTCCAACTCTAGACGTTTTGTCCATCACTTCGTACAGACTAAAAAGTGAAGAAATAATAAGTAAATCATCGCAAAAGCGGCTGTAAGTTATGGGGAAGAGATTGACGTTACTGTTTCTGATTTCAAAGACTCGTCAAACTAACTACGAAACCTAACGGACAAAGTCACTAATTATCATAAGAAAGAAAACAATTGTCAATATTTTTACTGATGTTAGATTTTGATGAAACC